CGTTAGTGCACCACGTGATCACACTTGACATAAAGGGGCACGTGCCTTGGCTGAAACGTGATTAGATTTGTAAACATCGCCAAGATCCTCGGAGAGGAAAAATGGCACAAGCGCACCTAAATCCATTCACTGCGCGCGCGCAAGGGCGCAACGAACGTGGCGCAAGCTTGGCAGCCCTTACGTCACCGACGCATACGTGACGCGTGATCTACACGTGTGCATGGGATCCTCACCACCGGCGCACGTGTCGCAACAATTTGAAAAACCAGCCCTCGAGGCCCTGTCCACGGAAAACGTAAGCAGCCGCCAGCGAGGCGGCTTTCGTCATCCACCTCATCTAGTGATTGCAGCCACATAGCGTGGGAATACTTTCCTTATTCGATTAATATAAACGTCGGATAATGATTCACTTACTTTGCTCCGAGTAAAAAAAAACAAAATGAAATAGAACGTCGCGATAGGTAAGGGACCTGGACAGGTTTCTCACTGTGACTGACGGGGAACGCTGTGTGACTGACGGGGAACGTAGAGATTGATGGTGAACGGTCGTTAGATCATTCGTGTTTAGACTAACGTTCGAGGGAGGATCAATGCGCAGTTCTTCTCGCAGTGATCCCTCGTGATGAGGCCGAAGTAGCCGGGATTACAACTAACCAGTTCGTATTCACTTACTCTGAACGAAATGTTTGAGTGAGTGAGTAAGTGAGTGAGTGAGTGAGTGAAAAAGGGAAGAGAAGAAAAGGTGAAGGAATTGTACTCATTCAGTGTCATGGGTACTCGCTCACTCACATTTTTCGTTCAGAGTAAGTGAATACGATTTCATAAGAGAGAGAAAGCAGTGAAAAGAAAAGTAGGAATGCTTACCAGGATAAGGCTGGTTTGGCTTTCCTGTACAGCGACGCGTCTGCCTTATGAGAAGAAACACATTCAAATCATTGGCAAACAAGAAGCAATCATCATCATCATCATCATCATCATCATCATCAGCCTGACTACGTCCACTGCAGGACAAAGGCCTCTCCCATGTTCCGCCAGTTAACCCGGTCCTGTGCTTGCTGCTGCCAATTTATACCCGCAAACTTCTTAATCTCATCTGCCCACCTAACCTTCTGTCTCCCCCTAACCCGCTTCCCTTCTCTGGGAATCCAGTTAGTTACCCTCAATGAGCAGCGGTTATCCTGTCTACGCGCTACATGCCCGGCCCATGTCCATTTCCTCTTTTTTATTTCAACTATGATATCCTTAACCCCCGTTTGTCCCCTAATTCACTCTGCTCTCTTCTTGGCTCTTAAGGTTACACCTACCATTTTTCTTTCCATTGCTCGCTGTGTCGTCCTCAATTTAAGCTGAACCCTCTTTGTAAGTCTCCAGGTTTCTGCTCCGTAGCTAAGTACCGGCAAGATACAGCTGTTATATACCTTCCTCTTGAGGGATTGTGGCAATCTACCTGTCTTAATTTGAGAGTGCTTGTCGAATGTGCTCCACCCCATTCTTATTCTTCTAGTTACTTCAATCTCGCGGTTAGGCTCAGCGGTTATTACCTGCCCTAAGTAGACATAGTCTTTTACAACTTCAAGTGCATTATTACCTATCTCGATGAGCTGCTCCTTTCCGAGGTTATTGTACATTACTTTCGTTTTCTGCAGAATAATTTTAAGACCCACCTTTCTGCTCTCCTTGTCTAACTCCGTAATCATGAGTTGCAATTCGTCCCCTGAGTTACTCAGCAATGGAATGTCATCGGCGAAGCGCAGGTTACTAAGGTATTCTCCATTCACTCTTATCCCTAAATTTCCCATTCTAGGCTTCTGAAAACCTCCTGTAAGCATGCGGTAAATAGCATCGGGGAGATTGGGTCCCCCTGCCTTACACCCTTCTTGATTGGTATTCTGTTGCTTTCTTTATGAAGCAGTATGGTAGCAGTTGATCCCCTGTAGATTTCTTAGAAAGAAGCAATAATATGAGAAAATAAAAGGAACAAATTTTCTTTGTACCTGCAAAAACTGAAAAGGAGGAATTAATATAAATGCAAATAGGGACAAGAAAATGCGCATACGGGTATATGCACACATTCTACCTATAGTTAACGGTCTCCCGGTATTCTGTACATCTCTTGCTTGTGGACGACTTAATGGTTTTGAGATTGAGTGTTCCGTCTTTGCTTTTTTCGGATCAAATTGTGTCCATATTTTCATGGTGATATTCATGCATACAAAATATTATTGCGATTCAATTTTGCGAAAGTCATCAAAGTTCTGGGAAGCTCACAAAATAAATAGTGCCATTGACGACACTAATGTGCCAAACCAGAGAAACATTATTTCCACATGCACAAACGTGGTTTATCGGGATGGCAAATGGCCTACATTGCTTACGAACAAGGTGAAAGGGAGGAATCCATTCAGTGTACCTGCAGACAAGAACAACAACATACGATGTAATGGTTAATCCTACTCAATCATCCTTTTGTTTCGCCCACGATTCGCACTCCTGTGTATGTCATTCCGTGTCCCATGCAGTGGTGGACGCGATGGGCAGACCTCATGCCGGTACGATGCAGGGCCGCATCGCCGCGTACGGTGCTTACGACCAATGCCTCGCTGTGAGACACAACGAAGGCCTTTTCCGGGGAAGGTACTGCATGCTGCACCTGGAACACGATGGATCCCAGTTTTCGCCTAGCTTAAGGGTCATCGTCAACAAATTCGTCGAGCACTACGGCTTTCAGGTGGGTATCGATCTGCTAAGTGTAGTGGAGTCGAGACAAGGGCATGCGCAAAGGTACGCGTGCTATGAAACGGCGCCTGCGCATGAACAACAACGCTGATATGTTATAGCATCTCTTTATATTTTTTTTTCGTTTTCTATCATTCACTATTCACTGGCCGCCGACCTCAGTGGTAATGTGAACTTATTGCTGAAGCGGTACACCGTTTACGTCACGTACCCTTACTAAAAGCAAAAGCTAAGAGCATGTCGAAGGAGAGTCCCCCAATTGGAACCCGAATACAAGGTCACATATTTCCCGAAGTAAACGCAGTGGTTTTGTGGCAACCTAGATCCCCAAAGTGTTCTTCAAAAATTTTTGTCTTTGTGGCAGGTCGATTTTTTATTTTTTTTCTCAGTACGTAAACCTAGAAAGTCAGCTAAATAAATGTATTTATGGCTTTGCTATATTACTCTCTAACGTACAGTGACTGATTATACCTAAAAAAGTGAGCGTTTTGTTCTGCGCGCTTTGTATTCTTTGTACACGTATATATATCTTGTATAGGTACGTTAGGCGGCAATCCAAGGCTATGTGTACGCGACTAGCACCTATTTCGGTTCCTAAGTTATTGGTACGTAGTTATCCCGCCTGCCAGTTTTCAAATCACTTGGACATTTTGTTCTTTTTCACTGAGACATCGAAGAAAGCTCAAGAAATGAGAATGAACGTCGAAGTTTCAAAGCCGAGAAAGAGGCATAAAAATAGAGAGGAAAGGCAGAGAGGTTAACAAATCCAAGAGGTCAAAGCACGTATAGTGGCACGGGCCCGTCCTCACAAAGACAAGTTAAGGAACAACTGTCATTAAGATAAGTTTTAGCCAACCGTGATGCTGTAGGCATCATTATCAAAGCCTGCTGGTAAATGGCAATGAACACTTACGAACAAAAAGCTTAATGCATTCGGCCCACGAACGTTTCGCCTTCACTAGAGCCGTGGCAAATCATGCGACGATGATCTTCTTAATTGGAATAAATTTAGAAGCATGGACTGCTGAGCGAGTTGGCAACTCTTTTTGTGTCGTGATTTCGCGCATCACCATTAGGAATGAATTTCGCATCGTATTCCTCTTTTTTTTTCGAAGGCTATATCCTCCATACAATGCACTCACATGGCTCCTACTCTTGCCAATGTTGCTGGCAGCATTTCTCGCGGCAGCCTAACTAGCATTGAAGTTGGCCTTAATGGCAATAAAGAAGTATATATAAGTGATTGCTGTACTTAGAATTCATTGTGAAAACCTTCGGGCTGATTTCATGCACATAACTTTAATTTATCGCATAGCTTTATATAACACTTCATGCGTTAACATACTGTGTATATGCAAATTTCAGGGTGTTTGCTGAAATGTACGTTATGTATAGCATTATTTTCAGCGTAATGATGTTCGTGTCACTGCATTTGGGGTGAATTATAGAGTTGTGTCACTGGGCTGTATTTGGAATTGCTGTCGGTGTCGCCAGATGAATAGATTTCGGGAATCAATGTTGTGTCCTGAAGGAATCACAAAAACTCCTCTTAGGTGCAATTCTGTGTACTTTTTTACTTGCTGTGATTTCCACCAATTCCGTTATCTGGAAAAAAGTGTACCCGGCACTACATAAAAGCGCTAACATCTCCTAAACAAAATAGCATATTTTATATCATGCCGAGTTGCAAACTTCTGTTCCTAGTTTGAATTTAATAATTTAATAAAATAAGCAACAATCAGCGTTTTGGAAGTGCCTTGGTGAAGCGTTGAGTAAGAGTCGTAAAAGTGTTTTGACTAAGTCCTTAGACAGTTTCATTATTGTGATAGCAGCAGTACCCCAGAATCTTGTGATCACTTCAATGACCTCTCTCTAACACAGAAGCAGAAAGGGTGTCTTCTAAGTTGTGCCAGAACAGAGCTCCCTCTATTTTTTTATTCTTTTTTTTTTCAAAATAGAGCAGGCGCTGGTCAGAGTAAGGAAATACGCTTCGGTTGAAAGGAAGGCCGTTAAACCGAAGGACTAACTTTTATGATGTTCTGTGGAGAATGGAAGAATATGTATTCAAAATATGTGACCAATCAAAGGTAAAAAATGTCGAAAATGTGCGGGCTACAGGTCAAGGCTTTTGTTCCCCGCCAACGCTACTACTGATACGCCGGCTCACAAAAACGGAAGCCGTCCAACATCTGTGTTTGCAAATAGCGAAAAGGTCTATGGTGGTTTTACTTAACGTTTTTTGGCAGTACCTTGGCAACTTGTCCAAGCAAGCCGAAAGCGGGTCTCGACTTGCCATACCACTGTACAAAGTCGGACTGTGTGTGCCTTCACTTTGCGAGAAGGAGGACCTGCAAGTCATCATTAGTCACTGTAAGGGGGCCTTAATTTATATTACCATAACTATGTATGAAAGTTCCTTCATGAAAAATGACTTCTGTTTATCGTTATCACTTGCAATCAATATCATCATCGTCATCATCTTCTTCTACATAATAATAATAATAATAATAATAATAATAATAATAATAATAATAATAATAATAATAATAATAATAATAATAATAATAATATAATAATAATAATAATAATAATAATAATAATAATAATAATAATAATTTAGTGATACCATAATAATAATATTATTATTATTATTAGACAATAAGATAACTTTCTCTTGTACAAGGTGGTGTACATTCATAATTGATATTTACGAAATATGTTCGCGTCGCACATAATGGCGTGCTACGACTTGGTCATTCTCTGCACAAATATCACTTCATTTGAAAACATGCCACAGTTTTTGCTTGTTTTTAAGGAAGATATTGTGGCGCTTCACTACTCAAGCAGTATTAGGTGTCGCGGTTTTTTTTTTGCCTTCAGTCTCCGCATTTCCCAGAAACAAATTCACTACATCACTTGACCAATTTATTCAACAGAAAAGAAGTGATTCCTGTAATTTTCACTTGCTTACATGCCTCAATACTCAAAGTTATCCTGCTTCTAAATCCAAATATACATGTTTTTCTAACATAAATTCTTGGGTATAACTTCGCATCTTAGTTTAACACTGTCCAAAATAGAAGCGTACCAATAATCATCCAAATTTACTGTAATTAGCACACCTAATACATTTTTTCACAGTCACGAAAGATTTTGGATCGCAGTTGAATGTCAAGTGGTGCGCGATTGACGAGCCAGTCCTATTGGATCGACGGCAAAGTGTAATCCTGTGAGTATTTACTTTTTATTTTCATGAACTTTAAGAATATTCTTTGGTCTAATTACCTCCTTATATGTTAAGAAAAAAATTCTAATGCCAGATGTTACAGGAACGTCCGGACTTTCATTTGGCCTTATGGTTTTGCGTTTCCATGTTACAAAATTGTGTAAAAGAACGGTACCTACAGGATTACAAATAAATAAATAAATAAATAAATAAATAAATAAATAAATAAAGAAAAAGAAAAAAGAAGATAGATAGAAGATAGATAGATAGATAGATAGATAGATAGATAGATAGATAGATAGATAGATAGATAGATAGATAGATAGATAGATAGATAGATAGATAGATAGATAGATAGATAGATAGATAGATAGATAGATAGATAGATAGATAGATAGATAGATAGATAGATAGATAGAGAGATAGATAGAGTAGATAGATAGGATAGATAGATAGATAGAAAGAAAAAAAAGAGAGATGAGATAGATAGATAGATAGAAGAAAGGTGCTCATGTTCCTCTTTCACAGAAGGCTGCTGTGCAGGAGAGAATAAGTAAAGAAAGAAAGAAAATAGAAAGAAAATAGAAAGAAAGAAATAAAGAAAGAAAGAAAGAAAGAAAGAAAGAAAGAATGAAGAAAAGAAGAAAGAAAAGAAAAGAAAGAAAGAAAGAAAGAAAGAAAGAAAGAAAGAAAGAAAGAAAGCAGAGGCTCCGCATGGCAAACAAAAAAAAGAAAAGGGAAACATACTTTATGCTTTCGGTTTCTGATGATTGTCTCTCGCGATGGTGCTTAAAAAAATTGCCTTTTTTATTGCAAAAAATTCTGAGGAAACAGAAGCACAAGTAATCGAAGTAATATGCTGGATGGTAGAGAGCCCTGGTTTGTTTTTTTGTTTATTTGTTTTTTACTGATCAATGTTGTTGAATTCATCGACTAAGCTTGGATCTGACACTCAGTAAGTCGCAGAAGGCGACTGAGTGGTATAGTTTGCAGTGCGGTGACTGGTCTAGAACCCTATCTTTGCGATATTTTCAGAAATTACATGCGTTCGATGTTGTTAGCGCTGTTGGATAAGTGTCATTGTCGCGTCGTCTGTTCTAACGTCATTACCTTTCTTTTTTCAATCGCCTAGATGCATCTTTGGAGTGTGGATGTCATTCGTGTTTTTCGGCACAGGCTACGACATCTACAAAACAATGTCATCTTCAAACGGGAACAAGGAATCTGTGAAACCAGCCTTCACAGGTCAGTCACGTTTCTGATAGTACCTCCTATACCTGGTAAGAAAGCTCACACGTACGATATTTTAGGGGCGAAACTCCTTAGGGCCTGGTTTTCACTTCCGTCGGGGTATAAAACCGTTGCTATAATCGAAACATATGTGAGGCACAAAAAATGATTTACAATAGCCCACAACGCAGACATAGGCTAATTATAAGATCACTGCCATCGGCAAAAATAACCTATCGAGAAAAGCATTAGGAGTTGATCATTACTCAGCTGTGCCTAGATGTTGAGGCTTCCCAAGAAAACCTGCAACACAAACGCACACATCGGGTACTATATGTCCCAACAAATTACCCATAATAAAATGGCATCTTACCACAGGGAAGATGGCTGGTTCCAGAACTCACTTTCAAGGCGTGTCCTCCACTCCAGCAATTTTTCCAATTCACCTTGAATTGCCTACGACTACTGGAAGGCGAAATAAATTTACATTTCTGTATACATTTTACGACACTCCATTTACAGTTTATGGGGCAACGCTCGGGCAACGTATGGTCACTTACCCGTAAGACACCCGGAGCTTCGCCCAATCGTCATAATTCACTTCGTGGAGATGCGTGGAATGATTCAGAAGTTCACCACAAAACACGACTGCATGCGTCCTGGAGTGAGCAGAATGTCAAACGAGCGGTATAAACTGATCTGAACTGTAGTCTGGGCCCGAAACATGTGAAATGAAAAAACATTCTAAAAAGAATGAAAGATTGTGTTACCGTTCGTAGGCTGGAAAGTGTAGCTATTAAAATATAACATATATCACAGGAAAAAAAAATTGGGGAATGACAGGCACACGATGGCTGATCACGATCCCCGCATACTTTCACAGCGCAAAATGACGTCTAGCGTAATTAACTCCTGTTCGGGCTTCAATCGAATGATCACGTATGGCGCCCTTAAACAATGTGGCAGGACCGATTTCAACCTCTGCCGGTTGCACTTTCTGACAGACCAGGAGATCAGCGAGAAATGTTTTTTGGTAGGGTTGGGGGCGGGGTCGTGAGGTGGTGAGGGTTCTATCATATTTTGTATGTGTTCGTGCGTGCGTCTCTATGTGTGCGTGTGTGTGTGAGCTAGCAAAATTGAAAACTTTTGAGAGGGGGAGAAGTTCCACCTCCCCTCTTGGTTACGCCATTGTAACTTACCCTATAGAGATGTGTGTCCGAACGGCTGGCGTAACGTCGGCAACTAGTCATTGCAAATACTATCATCAATCTGCCGAGTGATTCCTGGTACTGTAGAAGCTGCAAATCCTGTCAGTTAAAGACACCCACCTCGATTTCATGCATTACTTTGCTGAGAGCTGTGTTTCCTTTTCGAATCACGTGACGCATGACGCGTGAACTTGAAATTCAGCTGTGTGCAAGTAGATACATTTGCTGATTCTCTCTTACGAACCGGCCTTGATGGTAGTGAATACAAAGTAATGTTGCGAAAAAAAAAACTGTTCCCACTTGATATTGCATTTTGACCGCGACATCTTCAATATAGGAATGATTTCGCCCGCAGACTATTTTTCCAAAATCGTGACGTCATTCTCGCTCCGGAAGAGCTTCAAGAAACTGTTGGACATGCCCAACTGGGGTGACTACTCCAACGACTTGGGCTTCGTGCACGGCATGCGTGTATTCTCAGCTACTTGGGTCGTTCTTGGACACAGCCATATGGTTCGGGATGTGCACGCCAGCTGTGAGTATGGAATGTATGAAAAAAATACCTGTCTGCCTGACCGGAGGCTACAGGACTTGTATCTCTGATGACGTCGTCAGACAAATTTCGGGCTAGCTGCTCTTTCCACTAAATCTTTCAGGCGTATATCGCCGCGGCAATCGTATCGATGACCTCACATTTTGATGAAACGGCACACATCAGTTACAAAACACTATTTATTATGGGCTCTCTGATAAAAAAGCAGGTTTATATACGCTTTTTTAAAATTTGTCCATAATTATTTAGTATAATCCGCCATTTGGACGTAAAGTTTTCCAACATAATCACGAATCTCGTATACAGCGCATATGGTGGCGTAAAACAAGGTGAATGTTTTGGGCTGCACTGATTGCCTAAGCAATCCAGCTTAAGCCGTCTTTCCCCTCACTGAGCGAATACAAAACCTATGCGCTTGTGTGCAATTTACCATGAACGGGTATATAGAAAGATCTGTATTCACAGAAATAGGTGAACGAGGTAACTGTATTCTTTTGGCTGGAGGAGATGTGTACGATGTACACGTATTGATGTGATTAACTGCTCTTTTTTAGTCCTATTTCACTTGCTCACTTGCTCAGAGAGAGACAAAATATAACTTACCATGCCTCCTCCATGTCCACTACAAGGTTCATCACTATGATGAAAGACATTCCATCATTGCGGCATATTGTGGTAATGTATGATGCATAAATTTCGAATAGAGTATTGGCCTTGTTTAATGGGAGACGCGAGGATTACTTGATTACTTGCGCACCAAGTCAGAACCATTCATTTATTGATATGTCAATCTTTACGGGTGAATATTTTACCTGACAAGTTTGCTGTACTTATTAAAATTCACTCATTAATGGTGCGCATTGATTGCAAGGTCCATCTACTGTACGCAGGTGTGATATTCCGTGCATTTCGCAAAAATTATTTACTCGTGAAGATACGTGCGCCAGTATAGGCCTACCTCCCACGCGCAGGTGCGTGACATACAGAAGAAACGTGCGCAGAGGCATGTTTCTATGAAGCCTACAATGGAAGTCGCCCCGTGAAGGCACGGCTTTTCAGAGTTGGCCCGTCTCGAAAATTTCTATTATCCCATTAAATATGTACGATGCAGTTGGTGAAATTTGTACAAAGGGCGAATGACACTAACACACACGAGGAAATTGACGCACGAGGAAAAAAACGAGTTTGAATGTTTCATGCCGCAACTTCTTCAAGGAAACAAGCATGGGTAAATTGCATCGGTGTCCACGAAGCTTTGGTCAGCGATATACTCGAGCATACGGACACTTCACGGATCACTTAGTGAGATTGATGTTATGCAGGCTACCACCACCTGCCTCACTCGAAATTTCCCGTTTCCGACTTTAGGCAACGAACTTCGTTATTCAGCCACGCATGTTTACAGGAAGCAAACAGAAAGTCGCGCCATATCGCATCAAGTCAATAAACATTTTGTGTCTCATATATAGTGCGAGTGGTGTATTATAAAGTGATGTGCAATAATGAACAATGTATACGAAGTTTGGCTTATATCAAAGCAAAAAGGAATATTTTTCTTGCAAGGAGCTTTGTTGTAGAATGGTATGTGTGAATATGTATAGTGCACTTTAAAAAAAAAACTCAGCGACGGTGACAACACTAAAAAGCATATTAGAAAACTGCATTGAGGTAAGAATAGAGCCCGAAAGGAGCAAAGAAACAATTTGATTACAACAGAGAGAGAAATAGGTTTATTCCAACGGCACCGCAACATCGCCTTTATGGTGAAGAAATCAAAAAATGCTTAAGGGGCACCTCTCTGCATGCGTACCGAATGCTACAAAGAACAAACAGATTTGAGTTAAGCTCATACCGGAAGCTGACATAATTACAGTACGGTGGCAAAAAACAATACACTGATTGATTGATTGATTGATTGATTGATTGATAGTGTTTAACGTTTCCACAGCAATATAGAACGTATTATACAAGCTTAAGAATCTGTTGCACTGCGTTTCCTCGCGAGAAGACATACGTGTGTGCAGACCAATGTTGCGGAGTTGCCACTCCGGAATAAGTAAGAATCCGGAATTACACTAGAATTTCGCGACCCCGGAATGGAATTGGAAGAGAATGGCGACAAATCTTGGAGTACTGGAATGGGAATGGAATCAAGCGCATTTTCCACGGAATTGATTGGGAATGAAGTTACGACTTTTTTTGAAAATAAAGCACGTTTTGTTGACGTGCTGTTTTATTTTGTCCAACTTCATACATTAGTGAGTCAGATCCTCAAACTTCACAGTAAATCAGTTGTTTAAAATAGGCTTGACTGATTACCAGCATGGTGCATTTATAAGCAACACACCCATTATAATTCTGTCCTTATATAGACTGTATTGCTCCGAAGTATTTCTCTATTCTTCGCGTAACCACGGCTATATGACATGGTATCCGTTTTACGGTTGCGGCATACCCCCCTCGCACCTTGTGACTTTCCCCCTCAGTGGCGCCTCAGCCGCCAGATGTCCCCCCATCCTTCACTTTGTTTTTGCTTCTGCCGCCGTCGGCGACTCGGATATATATTCGAAAAAGTGCTTCTCTAATTTGTGATGCATACTGACACCGGTGCGGTGCTTCTGTTTGCTGCAAGCTTTCATACACAGACTTGAGGGCAGTCTCGCCACATATTACCCCCTCCCCCTTTTTTTAATACTTTCCCTTCTGCCTACACACATGGGTGCCTTTGCTTGAAACTTTATCGCAGAGGTCTGCAGGCCAGTGGCGCACACATTCGTACACGTTGAACTGTGTGCTGTGTGAACTGTGGGTCAGATACAGAGAAAAATAGAATATACTTTTGAAAGCATTGGTCCAGGTAACCAGCGGAAACAGGCAATCCCACGTAACCAAAGCGGTGCCTCTTCGAATCCCTATACTCGTTGTTTTAGCATTAACGCATTTAAGCTTAAATAATAATAAACCATCATTCGTTTAAACATGCACTCTTATAAAAAAAGGACCCATTTATTCATTAACCTAATCTGAACCGTTTACTTATCACAAAAACCACTAACCTTTTAGTAAGAAAAGGTAGTGAAATGCTGATTAGTAAAACTTGCTAGTTTGCAAAGTAGTTCGTGAGTAGTGCTGATTTGAATATTTAGTTCATTATTGAATTTTTATTTAATGAGCGTTTACATGTTAATGTGCATCGCCACATCACAATATTTCAATTACAGAAGTATAAGTAGGATAATAAGCGAAGTGAGATTGTTCACGTAAATTAATGTTTGGCAACTAATTACTTCATGTAATTACCATGGCCAGTACGCATAACTGCTACATAAATAGACGCATGAATAAATAAAATCACAAACGGGGCATACACGCAAACGCGCACATAGAATATCAAGACTGAGCCAGTTTCGTATACTGTACAGCAGCCGCTTGAAGGCTACTTATGCTCCCACTTTGGAATAGCACACTGTGTACTGTTTAGCAGCTACTGAATATAGAAAAAAAGGGGGGGACCTGTAAGCTTCGCCTTTAGGAGTTGAACGTGATAGCGTTATTCTGTTTCTAGTGCGTACTTCGAACGCTTAGTGAATGAAATGTTTTCGAACTTGCTATGCACCCAATACGTAGCCTTACGGGTGCAGTAGCGTGTGTGCCTTTTGTAGTGGTGACTGGCTTTAAACTGCGAAGTAATTATTACAATGCCATGTTCTGACAACTGATGTCAATGTACTTTTGTACCTCGCATTATTACGGCAATATTTAATGTTGTATTGTGAAGCATGTATACAGGACGCGTGTTTGTAGAGCATGCAAGTTACTTTAACTTCATTTCCAAGAAGAGGAAGTCATTTCCACTGTATTTACAAGCAGAGGCGTGCTGGTGTGGTTGAACACCCAT